GGCAATTTTGCTCTAAACATATTCCAAAGGAAACTTACCATATTGGAAAAAGCCACAAACTGCACCAAAAGCACTCAAATCGAGGTGAGCTTGGCTTGATTAGGGCTTGTGTTCTCCTTAGCAAGATCAGTACCTTTCCCTCAGTCACTTCAACAGGAAGAGTAGATGCTCTGCAAAGGCTGCCCTGCCAGTAAACTCCCAGCCAGAAAATGTTGCCTTTGCATCCTGAATTTATACAGGCATACTAAAACTAAAATCTTTGTTGTTGTTGTTGTTGTTGTTGTTGAGATGGAGTCTCGCTCTGTTGCCAGGCTCGAGTGCAGTGGCGCGATCTCAGCTCACTGCAACCTCTGCCTCCTGATAAAACTAAAATCTTAATCCTTATGCTTCCTTTGGATATCATCACCATCATACAGAATCCATGATTAGAAGTCAACTACTTTAATTCCCCCAGAGGTGGCAAACTCGAATGCTTACAGGCTCCAAGAAGATAACACCAAATAGCAAAGCAGCAGTCCACTGACAGTAACTAGGGCAGACATATCTGCCCTGCCCAAAGTGGGCAACCACTGCAGTTTAGTTTTTGCCATGTGAGAATTCAGGTACTGTATTGCCAGATCCTACTGTTAAAAGAGAACTCCGAAACCTAGACCTTTATGAGAAATCTTCTAATTTTTATACGATGGAAACTAACTCAAAATGTTTTTAAACACCTCAAAGTGGGGAGAAGAAAAGAAAGGTCTATAGACTACTTTCAACCCATGAGCCACCAAGCACAACTTTTATACTATCGTACAGCCTCTGCCCAAATAACTCAAGTGACAGGGAGCTCAGTTCCTCTAAGAGAAGGCCATTTTGGAATAGCTCTAGTATTATGATGCTTTTACTTATATTAAGGAGCTATAAGCTACCTCACATAACTTTCATTCATTAGAATATAAAAGTGAGAATTTTATATTAACATGGAATTATATTCTTCTAAGTGTTATTCTCTCTCTCTCTCTTATCTCACTTGAACCTCTCATCAACCCCAAAGATAAATAAAACAGATAGACTGGAAATCTTTCCCAGTTAAAGCTGAAGTACAAAGACGGTATTGCAACTAATCTTTGGCCAATCTGTGAGTTTTCACATTACATATAAAATCCAGTCTTCTAATTCTCATTTTCCATTGCTCTTTCCATTCTGACACAAAGCCTGACACCTTGTAGTAACTGAGATATGATGTACTATCTTACATTCACTCCTGCCAGCATTACCAAATTCCCGTAGAGTATAAACCAAACATTTTAATACCTAGTAGTGCTAGAGGGCTCAGTGGGTGGAAATCCAAAGGCATTGACATGAAACACTTGATCTTCAAACCAACCTGAAAAAAAGTAACATCACTTTCATTTGTCTAATCCTCTGTGTTTGAAAGGACAAAATTATGTTACAACAAAGCAGTAATGTCAGGCTAGTCTTATGCCCTGTGAACTAATTACAGAGGTTGCCAGCCTCAACTTTAGATCCACAGAGTCTCAACTTATAAAGTTCATTAAATAGAAATAGATTCATAACTTTTCGCTTTTCAGTTTGGCAGTACGTGTTGAAATACATATTAGGAAATGTTTCATTTTATGGCCCTATATAAAATTAAGTGTTTTTTTCAACTTTATTGAGATATCATTCACATACTATACAATTCACCCTTTAAAAGTATATAATTCAGGGCCGGGCGCGGTGGCTCATGCCTGTAATCCCAGCACTTTGGGAGGCTG